TTTACCCGTGAATTCTTCGCACTTCTATCCCATCCAGAGAAAGATAAGGGAGGACCATGAAAAATCCAACTGAACACTTGTGTGCGCTTTTCAAGCGATCGGCTCAGACCATTATATTGTCAACTGTTTGTTTTCCATTCGGTTGCCGAGAGCCAGAAGTGGTAGTGTCAACAACTTGGTTAATCATTTTGGAAAAACAGAGAAGACTCATTTGCCTTCTCCTAGTCAATCGCCTAAACAACGGAACATGGTTGTACTAATGAATTCCCCACTGATGCGTCTAAGGACCGAGCAATTTTATCGTGTCCACTTCATCTTATAAAGCTCATCCGTGACATTTAGTATAAAAATAGCCATTGCATCCTTAACTTCACTCACTTCGCCTCTTTAGTAGGGTGTTTAATTTGCTGCAGTGCGTTTGATGAGGTAGTATAAAAATTGCCGCTCGGATCAGTAAAGCCAGCATGGCAACCTGGATATACATAAATGTTATAATATAAAAGATCTCGGTGTGTTTATCTAGGAAGATCTCGTTTCCCCAGAGCAGTACCAAAAACATGGAAAAGAAGACTCAAGAATTGAGGTGTTTGCTGAGAGCACCTGAACATATGGGATCGCGATTTTCTTGCTATATAAGCCATTATGTCCTATGTGCAATTCAAGTTTATGACGAAGACGACGCCTACTAAAGAGGGTGTCTTAGAGTATGCGTTCTATTCCATTGCCTTGGTGCCACGGTCCCCTACGTGTGTAATGTCCTTCCGAAAGCTATTCCCTGTGTTCTCCACGGCCGGTTGATTATGCCAGGGTGGTACTCTTTCTACCTTTCACTTACAATTTCTAATCGGTATGATCACGAATAATCTCAACCCGCCTTCCTTCAACTCTGCTGAGGTGGAGTTTTTCTTATGTGACCAACTGTCTTACTTAGAGTGGATTGACGACAAAACGCTGCATTTATCTGACCCACCTATTATGCTAGCGCTACTCAATTGGCTGAAGAGTTGCGCTGTGTGCTTCCGTATATGGTTCCACGCCTTCAAATTGCGAGGTTATATCACAGGACGCATGCGACACACCATCAGAATTGATAAGAGTGACAAAACTAGTGGAAAGCGCAGATCGGTTAACTTACTTAGGCACCTGTAACAGTCCTGGAGGTTTTGCTAACAGAGGAAATTACCACATGCATCACTAAAACACAGTTGGCTTTACAATTATCATCATCAAAAGCAGTACACCAGCCATTCGTACTGGTGCTTCGCCGCTGTACAAGCACGGTGACCTAGAGAACGGAGGACAATAGCATGGATGGAAGAGGGGCCTAGCATAAAACAGTGCTCTAGTCAAACATTCAGGGTCGAGACGCCTAAAACTTGTCAATGACATACTAGCAAAAACAGCTGAATATCATGCAAAAACAGGGTGGAATCAGCGAGACAGCTTCCTTGCGGTTTTCAGTGCCTTTCGTCATGACCCGCTATTACCCCACAGATAACGTAGCGCCAAACACACTTTAAACAACAGGTCGCCTAGGAAACGGCAGCAGACGCGTCACTGGTTGCGAATGTGGGCCATGCCCTGTAAAGTTTCGAGTCAAGCACAAGGCAAGTTACGGAGACTCCAGCCTGAAAGGCGAGTTGGACCGACAGCACCAAGTTTTATAGTCTGTGACTTCATTTGGCGCTGCCAAGTCAACTTTTGTCCACCTCAATCTTCTCGCCACCCTACGTCTAGCAGACAAAACAAAACTCTCTTCGGTACGCGGTGACCAGGTAAACGTAGTACCTGTCCAAGCGAACGCAGCTTACTCGGTACAGTCGGTTGCACCAAAGAACTAGCTTGATTATTACCGCCTAGTACTAGCCGACGCACACCATCGTTGCGGACACGCTGGTGCCACCTGGTCCCGGCAATTCTCCTCAGACAACGTTGCTCAAAGAAATGAATATGCCGCAGATCCTCAGACAGAAGGGGCCAAGTGGCGCGACCCTCAATCTGGCTTTGTAAACAGGGCCTTTTAGACCAAGGTAAACCCCTTTCTGACACCACAGATGTCGCAGTCTCAAGGAAGCGGTTCTGGCTTTTGCAATACTTGGATTGACTTCAGTGGGTATGCGCTTATCCTTGCTAATGCAGCTGCCAAGGTAAGTGAACTGACTAACTACCTCGAGTTCCTCGCTATCAAGGGTCACGAGACATCAATTGGCTGGTATTTTTGTGGTAACGCTTTGTGCTTCGAAGGTACGAAGCACGTGCTAAACGATGATGGCATATTAGAAAGAGGTACGCAAAATGTTGTGCCACGGTAAGGTCCAGGCTCGTTGCGACTTATAGTTTTACCAAGCTTCAATGGTTTGATGAGGCAGTGTGATGTAACATAAATGGTCACAGAAATACTTTACATCACTGCCATGTGGCCAATAAGAGTCTCCGAATCAGGCAGCTGACGTCTAAGCGTTGATAATATTTGGGAGTAAACAATCTTGGCTATCGATGTCTGTGTAATATGAATTATGTACAATGGGTGAACCAAATGACAATAACTCATCCGAGTTGGTAGACTCTGTCATTTGCTTCGGTCTACTTACAGCCAAGCGTCTCACAGTGTGCTGTTTTCCAACACAGTATGTAGTTGGGGATAGTCAGTGTTGGGCAGTCAATAATATGGTAGATGAGTGCGGCTAAACTTTCCGACAGATTGAATAGGGCTGGTGTTTGTCGTTTCCTCGGATGTAGACCTTGGGCTAGTTCATGTCAGCGGCTAGACACTACAGGGATATAGCCAAGCAGTTAGATCAGCGGAGCACTTGCATGCGTTCGCTCATTTCCAACTTAAAATCACTCTGTGTGATGGTATCCTTTTTGAACATTCAGCTTATGCTTATCAACATATCATCATTATGTTCACGATGTATGTCATGGGGACCGGGTCCACCGCACCTCAATACAGAGATCGTAGTTTTGAAATTGAACCATTTGATAAATCATTGCATAACGTATTGAGCCATGGCAGATGCGAGATTTCCCCGGTTTTGTATCAGCTGGCATACGAACAAAATGAAAGTGCTGTGGATCTCAAGCGGACGATAGCCAACTTTACCTAGTAACTAAATTTTAGTCCACTTGCTTCTGAGTAACCATGATTGTATGCGCCAATGTTCGTTGAAGTTCAGTGATAACAATCCTAGAAGTCTCGTTGTCCCATACTGATAGAATGAAACAACTGCTTAGATAATCATTGGAATTAGATTTTTCTACTTGTTCGACACCTTTAAAATGCTCAACCGCAATTCGTTACCTCTCTCCCCACACTAGACACATTCGTAATACACCGGCTCCTCTATATATAACCACATATATCGCACATAATAATAAAATCGGAAAGCCTATAAAGACAAACTTTTCCTTCTATCTTAAAAGAGAGGACGGTGATAGCCATGTAAGTTGCATCAACATTTATGTGAAACGTTTCGTCAGACAAATGTTCTATACGCAAGTTCGCCATTGCTATTTATCCCGAAGTTCTTTTACAAAATCCCCAAGCGACCACTCGCAGTGATGTGTAAAGAGGACGGTTCCATAGATGGCTGTATTACTTTACTTGAAACAGTGATTCTTGCAATTATTCTTGCTAACAGCTCATACTTGCACTACTTTTAATTGATAGCAAACTCCCAACACTTCAGAGGAAACATTGTTACACTTAGACAATTTGCTTCACATTGTGAGTTTGTCGTAAAATATGATCAGACCACCAAATCAATCCGTGTCTCGCAATATCTAAATACACCATTTACTTAGTTCTTCATTTACTTAGTTGACTGTTTAGAAGTATTAAACCACAAACAAAAGCCATGGGGAGGCACCAGCTGTTATGACGATTGTGAAAGCGTGCAAAAATAGCCATATATCGTAGCAAAAAGTTAAATTGTAGAAGTCGCAGTCAGGCAATAACAGGTGTATCGACGAACGAAGACAGTGTAACTAGATCTCTCCACTTTTGGTAAAGTACTTACATATCTATCCGTCTTAGGTTGATCGGCGATCTAGATGTTCAGATGTCACTAGCTATGAGAAGTATACAATAGTTAAACTGGAACTGTACAGACACTCAGTGAATTGATAGTTCGCAGCATCGGAACAACCCATTTTAACAAGTATGACGCAATCTGCTAACGTAGCACAAAGTAACAAAGGATCAAGTTACACAGAAGCACAAGTTTGCCAAGTAGCATGCTTTTAAGAGTGAATACAAGATCCGCAGGTCAGATATGAGTACCCAGCTGATTGCTACCTAGTAAAACTTATTGGAAGATATGTGATGTTAATTTCGCCTCACTAGTTAGTTTACTTTATCTCTGATGATTTACTCTGTATCCTAATTGCCTAATCCGCTGTCTATGGAGGGGTTTGCCAAATACACGCATCCGCATATCGACTCCGTCACTACGCACCTCGTCACTATTATTGCTACGTCAGACCAGCTAATTTAGATCTTATTCGACACTCACTAACACACTAGACATGCGTTAACTCACGCGTCTCCGGGAAGGGCAACTCCAACATACTTAGCCAGACAAATGGAGAGAAGGCGGATAGTGCAAAAATCATGTGTTTTGCCTAGGTGGGGGACTATTAGCAAGGAGCTGCCTGTATGGGTGTGATTCCTCAAGAAACGGGGGACTACATATACTGAGCCTGGGGACTATTATGTTTGTTTTTCAGCCCGCGGTAATGCAAACCTGTTTATTCAGTAGTAAGTAAGACACACAGGTTACTGTACTACTGGCATACTTTAGGAGAGCTACCCTTGCAATCAAGCTTAAGAAATTGCCTCACTTAAAGTGAAATAAGATCAGTTGGCCCTCCTGTAATACTCCGTCTTCGGTGTCCGTCAATTTAGCCACGCGCATGAGTTGGAAACATCATCAGAATGAGTAGAACACTAATCATCGGAGATAACTAAATCAATGCAAAGGTCTGAATGAGTAAATTACCTTGAGTTTCAGCACCTCGATTTCCAGGAGCAAAACGCAGATCACGATAATACCATCTAAGCAGCATAGCACCACAACTGACAGCTGAAAAGCCTTCGAATGAAACCAGCTTGTCACTTTTTCCTTCACACTAACTTTTCTTGGAACGACCACGGAGATTGTACAAACGTCGTTGGGCTTCTGCAACAGTTCATCGCAATGGTTGTCCCCGTCCCGTTGGTCGGACATTCCTGGGCGATTTGCTTGCTGTGTGGGCAACTCAGTGCAGGATCGGTCCAATCGTAGTAGGAAACTGAGGATTACATTCACACCGGATTGGTCTGCAGGATGAGATTGGTACCATTCTGCAATATGGACAAATACAGATTACAATTACAATTACAATTCCTTCTGCTCATTAGTAATATAAAATTTGGCCTAGTGAGAGGAAGTCATCACATTCGGAGGCTAGCCACTGTCACCTGATAAGCTAGTAACCTGCGTGGGAGTGGAAGATAAGTCATGCCATAGCCCAGTTAGCTTGCAAATTGAATAGCCCAGCCGACGTCCTCTATGGCTCAGTGGCTTAAGCTGTTGGCTAGTTGGCATCTGCCACTAGCGGTCATGGGTTCGATCCCCAGTAGGGGACCGAGGGAATGCGCACCACTGACAAGCCACAATAGGGAGCAACTCGGCTGGTGCTTTTCCGGAGTAGACATTGCTATGTAGCTAGTGAGCAGCTGGAACGAAACGGTTACAACTAAAATTACTCTCCGTCAACTTTGTGAAGAATTAAATTTAGATTTTGATATGAACAAAAAGCAATGCTTGTATACAGTTTGAAAGTGTGTGTTTCATTAGCCCCGATGCAAGATCTAATGGGAGGTACCGAATACATTAGGTAGGAAACAGTTGGGACTTTTACTGGAAACGCAGTATTCGCCATTTTGCAAGTTTGCGTTGCAACAGTTTTGCTATCCGTATTGTTTCCAAGCGAGAATTGGTGACGGGTAGTAATGCATACATTTTCCCAGAAGTGGAAGAATATTTTATGCTAATAGACAACTGTAAAAGACTGAGTGTGTAATCCAAATGTCTTTTTACTGTGGTTATTTTCGAAACAGGAACGACAAATCCTGGGAATGGTACCATACACGAATATAGGACTATATGCACAGAAACGCTCCGTTTTACAAGATGTTAACTCAAAGTTAATACTGGCATTTTAGTGCGAACCTTACTTGTTTCGACTAAATCTGGAAGTGCAACATCAATTCCCAAAATAAACATTTGACAAAATGGACTATGAAAGCATTTGGGACAAAATAATCACGTGATAACTGTAATGCAGGCCCTGTTTGTGGTACATCCTGATATCTAATTATACAGTCATACCGCATGACAGTGTTTCAGTACACAATACACTTTAACGGCATTTACCATTACCTATGACATACTGATACAAAATAGCGCCTGGGTAAAGAATCCACCATAAATTGCGCTGATCTAGAAGCTTGGCACTCCGTGTAAAGTTGTTTATGGCATGAATAACTGCCTCGCTGGCATGAGAGGCAGATTCTTCAAATGCACGTTGCGTAGCATTTCTCTAGCATGACTTATACGTAATCTGAACATCTGCATAATAGATAACTCATCACTGCATTCGGTTCAGCTTAGGAGATGACTTGCCGGGGTCTGCGGTAGCAAGATCCTGACAGAGTAATGAATCGCTGCTGCTCTGGTTCTGCCATAGACTCACTTCCTGGACGCCCTCTTGTGGCTTGTATCATTCTTCTAGAAAACTGACAGAACACAACCATGTGAGTTGATTGACTAATGGTGCATTGCACACTGGTTTGCAAATACATATTTTATCTAAAGTTTTAGATGAGGACCAGATTCGTTCTCTTGTTCAAGTGTGAGTGCCCTGGCATTATACCAGTTAAAGAATTAACCATGAACTACAAAAATACAAATAGTCTCATGATGCATCGGCCGCTGCACAAGGCGGGGAATACAGCCTCCTTATATACTAGTCACCATGGGATGGATGAGCGCATATGCTATTACGACAGCATGAAGTGAACCTAGTGTTCGATTTGCAAGATCCCACAAACTAAATGAACACTTGATGAAAGAGCCGACTGGTATAAGCCCAATGCTGATGACACCTCATCTACACGCTAGGTGAGGTACGTTTGCATTTGTAGTTCCCACAAATGGTCCCACTATGTGTCATGCTGATGACAAGCGGGATCAGGTTTACACTCAATTGTCCTCCGTGCTACAGTCCGTGCTGAGAAGCGACTGGCTAGTCCTGCTGCGTGAGCTCAGCATGCGCGTTGGGCGTGATGCTACAGTGTGCACAAAGGTAATCGGGCCGCATGATATCGGAACAGCCGATGGGAACGGTGACCAGCTGCTCCCACTGTGTGCCAGTAACGGCCTGTTGATAACGAAGGCACAGTTTCCACTGGGCTCGATTGGTCTAGTCACCCTCACCTGCTCGACCATGTCATCATGGCCGGCGTGACATGTGTGAAGTGCGTATGATATGCGTGCTGCGTGGATCCAAGCGTGAAACGGATCGCAAGTTGGTACGGAACAAATTGTATATATTTTTCGTCAATCTATACTTTCCCCTTGAGTGAATCCGAGGAACTATAATGTTCGTCATCTAGGTAATTCTGAGTAGGAGAGAAAAGTTGGGATTGCGATGGGGACCTGCCATGCCAATATCAACAACTGAGATTCAATCAGGGTCATATGGTGCCTCCTCATGGAACCGGGTGAAATCTGCCGATGAGCAGAGGATTACACGAGTAAAACTGAAAGCAGACAGATTGGTTTTATAATAACAGTGACCACTGACATTTTTTGTCAGCGAGGACTGCAGCACCTGGTTGGACAAACCTCTGCCGACCTCAAAGCGGTTTCCGGCGTAAAGCTGTGGTGTGTATTAACATCTACCCTGTTAGATATTTATCTTAGTAACGTTGTATCCCTGAATTTCAGTCTAAGTGTTGCTGACTATACAGCGCATCGGGGTGAGAATTTGGGTGCGAGAAACAACCAACCGGTATGATGTTATTTTCCGAAGGCTGTCAATTGCTTGTAAACAGCGTTGATGAGTTACAACTTAGAACAACAGCTCTCGTCTCGACAACTTCTGTATCATCATCAGCACAGGTAAGACTGTTTTTGTCAGCGGTCAACAGGAATAGAGCCCGTTAGTTGTCTACAAATCTAGACCTCATGAATCCTATGAAAATGTTGCTATTTCGCAAGCAGGCTGTTAACAGTTGCTGCTCGGAGCCAAGCTAATAGTCGACAAAACAATGATAATCACGGTCCTGCTGTACGACAGTAACAGAGCAACTTTTTAGCTGAAGAACATTCGAAATATAGAATAATTCCATCAGAAAGGCCGGCGTCGGTGTCTGCGCATCTTTCGGTGCGACAAAGTTGCTGACACAAAATGGGTACGTCCGAATGAGTTGTACAAAATGGATTGCCTGCTGCTACAAGGAATGCTCAGATGGTTCGGGCACGTGCGCCGTATGGATGCGATCGGGTTAGCGAAATGTGAGGAAACCGACGGTGTATTGTCGGGACATGATGAAGGTGAACTAGTCATGAACTAATATTTCTTCTAAGTGTAGGGAACTGATAACAATAGACCATAATCAATGACGTGATTATATCAAGAATGTAGTTGCACAGATTTGTTTGAAAGTACCGTTGGATTAAGAAGAAACGCGATGGCTACGTAAGAGACGGGTACCGATGGAGCTCAGTCCAACAACATCAAGCATCTGGGGCTTTAGCACATGCGATCGTGTGTGTCGCAGCGAGCCGATTTAGTAAGTCATCATTGTGACCACGAGGGACCAACATCGAAGTGGCGACGAGTAAGTTGAACTAGAAAGTGTTTGCGCATCTTAAGTACTTTGCTTCCGGTTCCCTTTACTAGTCCAGGCAGATGTGGCACGTGCGCTACATCGTGGCTTCACCTTGTCTGAACATGTCTGTAAGTCCATTACGTCTCACATTGACAGTACTTGTTGACTGATACCCACCATCTGGCCGCGCTTGATGTGAATGATGACAAGGGCCTTACTTATCGAGAATATCCATCTCGATCATTGGCTACAGGACAAGATTGATCGTTGTTGTGGAAGACACAGTGCACAGTCTTCGTGAGAGTACTTGGCTCAAAGTGTAGTTCTATCCAGCAGAAACCAGGCTACGGCCCAGCCACCCCTAGTGTACGTCTGGTATACTTGTCTCCCACGATTTCACAGGAATGCTGTGCAAGTTTAAGAAGTGTGGGCCGGAGCCGAATTAAGCGCATTTTTCAAGTCCATGACAACCAGTCGTATTCCCTTGGGTTTACACTGGATATGGTCTGTGTGTGTGTGTGTGTGTGTGTGTGTGTGTGTGTGTGTGTGTGTGTGTGTGTGTGTGTGTGTGTGTGTGTGTGTGTGGATAGAGCTGTGGGTGGTGCAGCGCAAACTACTCATGATCCCAGAGTAGGCGCCGATGTCCAGTGACTGTCCGCAGACGCAGTGATAGGTGGATCTGGAAACTCCTGCCGCCAACCGCTGAAGAGCTGGATAAAAGGAGTAGTAAGATTTACAAATAAGTCGTGCAGTTCTCGAGGATGCATAGATCCATTCACCCGAAGGGAGAGATAAAATATTTGTAGTTACTATTGCGGTAACCTTTGCACACTTGGTGGTAAAAGAAATGTATAACTGACAACTACTGGACACCAGTTCTAAGCCGTTTCCGCACGGAAGAGCGTACGTTAGAGGAGGCCTAACTGTAGTGGTTGGCACGGCGCCATGTTAGTAACTTGGTTATCCAAGTAAAACGGAGAAGAGAATGTACAGGATAGCTACAGTTACTTGCAGTACTAAAAAACGTAATGTTCTGTGTTGTATCAAATCGCTGACGCTGGATTCCTTGCTAGGAGGAGAAAAAAGAGACTAACAAGCAGGGTGTACCCCTCACACAACGCAATCGGTTGATGCTTGCTACGTTTAGAGAACTATTGCGAGACAGAAGTATTTGGTTTAAAATGAGACTGTTAGACTTGGCTGGGAGGTCCCGGATTATTGGAACGGAGACATGCAGAATTCTGACGAAAGATCACTGAAAATGCTCAATATTGCCGCAAAGAACTGAAAACATGGTAATACTGAGACCTAACACTTGATCAGAATCTGTTAAAAAGGAAAAACAATACTATCCAGAAAACACCAACTTGTCGACACTAGCCCCTTTGACGGCGATGTGGTAAAAAGCGTAAGAAGGAAGGTGCGGAGAAGTCAGTAGTTCGTGAAAGGAGGGAGCTACTGAACATGACACTGACTGACGCAAGAGCTATGACCGATCCTTTCTCCGGGTTCCCGACATAATATATGTTTGGCCCACCGGAAGCTCAAAAGTGGGCATCTCCCTATGTCAGGCCATTTGAATGGCTCGCGAGTCATACAAAAATGCCCCCTGGCTGAATTAATCAAACCTGTTCGGAGTTATATAACAGGGTACGGTTTTAAATATATGTTTACATTCGCTGAACAACTAGAAACTTCCAATAAAGATGGGACGCATTTGTTTTTTGTATATGTCGTCATTGTTTATGTACGGTTTTCCTGAAGCAACTTTAGACATAATGGGAAGGTATGGTGACATAATGGGTATCCAAACACCTTTATTCAGGTCGTTAGTTCGACTATGCAAAAAGGCTGTCCGCTTTTGCAAATCGACCGTGTAGTTGCAAGTAATGCACTGCGGCCGGTTTCAATAGCCAGTTTAACTCCTGTGCACAAATGCGCAATCCTAGGTCATCCCTGCCAATGTTTAACAAGCAGCATACTTACTACACCTTATCTCAGTCAACTGTAACTATAACTCTATTAAATTCCAAAGAAACAGGATTTATCCCAAGTTCGTGCTCACTGCTATCAAATTGCAATTAACGGGCGCGTTTACTGAGTGACCATTCCATATATGTGCACCCATCTGTGATAATATTGGCTGATTTAAGCGTGGTCACTCAATGAGCAATACGCATTTTTAAGTGTTTACGGCTGTTAGTTGCAATTAAGTAACTTTAAGAGCCATCCGGAGAGATCTAAATAAGAAAGGGAATTTCTTACGGAGGAATTTGAAAACCATATATATGTACTTGGCTGATAAGAGGCAAGGACATGCTGAAGATGTAGTATGCTAAAATACGATACACAATCAAAAACGCGTTTGATAACTCTTTCCATTAATTGTAACCTAACTGGTAGCGGGACCTACCAGGTGCACCCTTTCGTCCTGCATACAGAAACCCTGCGTGTGCAGAAAGATACGTCGCCTTATGTGGATTCTACCCTCCGAGTTAGTAAAACGAGATTCATTCCGCGCCAAAGTCGTGAAAGATGGTTAACTTTATTCTGGATATAACGGAAAGTGAATTAGAACGCTGGAGAATTACATTCCGAGTGAGTTAGTTTACGAAATCAAAAACCACGAAGAAACTGTTGATTGATATACCTAAGAAGAGTGAATTCACTATGTTGTAAATTGCAGGGAGTCAAGTTCAAGACAGGTATCAATCTTGTTGTACCTATCGACTAATGTTATTATGCGGCCGAACCAGTTATTCTGCTACAAACTAGTAGATTATGCAAATCACACCTGGTAGGCCAGGACATTCACGTTACTGCTTCATCTATCTGCCTGTTTCACAGTAGTTGTGGTGGCAAGTATGTTGGCCGACCTTAAAGGAAGCTGTTTGCAAGTTTCGCAGAACATAGCCTTCATAAATTGGTTTTAAATGGCTCTAATCTACCCACGAATTCTACTAGTTAAAACGTGCTCCATTGCCGCATTTTGCGTAAATCCTATCAGATCATAGTAAATAAGTCATAAAAAAGTTTCCGCTTGTGGCGGGGAACACCCAATTTCCATCTGCCTTGGCTACAGGCCCAGTGATCACGGTGACCAAGGTTCATTTCAATATGAATCGCGGTTCACACTGAGGTTGCGTGTCGCAATCCAAGCACACAATGTGTAGCCCAAAATTGACCCAGCAAGTTCCCGGCTGCTTCAGTGTGCCGAAGATATGACGATGTGTTGGTTAAAACCCAGTCTGTGCAAACACACAGAGTTCGTGGTCAGTTTCGTCCTACCGTGGCGAGGTCATTCCCCGTTTTCTTCCAAGCGAACCGCGTGTGAAGTAAGTGGCCCTACAATAACAATGTTGCACGATGACTATATTTGCATGCGAATCCCTTGTTCCATAGATTGTTATCTAAGACGCAGGGGAGAACAAGGGAAGCAAATGAATTCAGAGCACACTGTTTAAAGGTCATACTTTTTTCGTATTTTGCGATTTTTCATAAATCTTCGGATGTTTCTAACCTCTTATAGAAAGTGATTTCGCTGTTACATTTCGCCCAATTAATTACGTAACTGACACCAGCTTGATAGCCGAGTCCCGTTTCTTTTTATCACATTAGTGGAGATTGCACAATATCTCCCTGTCGCGTAATTTTGTGACATGCTACGGAAGTGGCTTACAATTAGAAATGTTCCGGTGACAACTGCACGCGTTCATTATAGGCTATCCACATAAATATTGTACCAGGAAACGGAAACGCCTACAATCAATTTTAGTCGCATACAAGAAAACAGCGGACATGTCCTTATTCCTGGACGAATTAGCTACTCATAAGTTCCGTAGCAGGACGTAACATTGACACCGATCTGGCAAATTTACGAGTTGCTTGGTTTTGCTGAGTTGCTTAGAGAAAAAATATCTAGGGCGTTAGGTCACTCTAGCAGTTTCAACCCTTACGTTTCACTAAATGTTAATCTTTACGGTCAATTCAGGACAAACTTAGTGAGGCATGATTCGGGAAATATCATCCAGTTGCAATCGTATATTGTCCTTCACAATATTATCGCAAAATAATGGTGAAGCAAGCTGTATTTTGCGTTGTTTATTCGATATTACTTAATGAATAAATTTCATTTTTCTTTCAAGCTAAGTTTCGATATTAATGATTTGATTTTTCTAGTCCGCGATACTTTCAAGAATAAGAAAGTTCGTACGCTGCGTGTCATTAAGTTAATTTAGCGCATTTAAATGTAGCGCTGATAAAATTTTGTTAACATGGCGCTGATCTCAACTTAGAATGAAAGTAATTAGAATTCAGAAGTTGCGGCTGTCCACACTGCTGCTTCTAAGCACTGTTATTGGTTTTCACTAGGACCAACGGAATTCAGGCTTTTGGATGAGAAAGGAAGGACAAAATTGGTGCCCACCATCTTACCCGGTGCAGGTCGTAATTTATATGGATCTAGCTGTGCAAACTTGATTTCCCAATCGTACCGGGTTTGTGTTAATAACAAAATACTACTAGTCCCGATAACAAGTTAAACCCACTTCTCGGTCTATACCTTGGGTAAATACCGCGTAATTTTGATATTTGTTTGCACATCATGAGTAATATAGATGTGATATAGCGCCGCTAACTATCCACTGGTTCCAGCCCTACCAGGGTCCGGTGGAATGTGCACTGCTGATGATTCCCGAAAGGATGAAACGCGCGTACAGTGCTTTTCCGGGCGTGTGACAGCTGTCTGAGTGAGTCGAGATGTGACGAATTTCTACCTATACCATTCAACTCCCCCTACTACTCTTCTGTAATCAGTACGCAGAACAAACTGCTTATAATGCCATAAGATAATTGGCGGCTTAAGTTTGGTAAGCTCGTCGCTTGGTGAGGGGGGCTACCCTGTCCTCTGCACGACAGTAACGTGTAAGTCAGTGGATAGTGAGCGGCGCTATATCACATCTAGTAACTTATTCAAGGTGGTCGTTGCCGTCCCCCGTGGCTCAGTGGTCTCAACCACGGACTGGCAACATTCGAGTTTCGGGTTCGAGCCCTACCAATGGTCCGATCGAATGCGCACTGCTGATGCTTCCCGGAAGGATGAATCGCGCGTACAGTATTTTTCTGGGCGTGTGGCGGCTGTCTGAGTGAGTCTATATGTGACGAATTTCTACCTATAACATTCTACTCCGCCTACTACTCTTCTGTAGTAGATTATTTGTTCACTAAGTACTGCCCGCTGTGTCTGGTTAACAGCTAAGTAACTACGAGTATTAAGCGTCCACTGAGTAACTGTTTTCAAAAGGAGTACTCCAATGCCGTCATTGATTGGTCAGATTGAAATCACATAAAATGCTTCACCAAATTCACGGGATACACTCAAGATAAAATAGTTGGCTGTAGGTTTAGTATTTACTATAGATGGTTTAAATATCTGCTAGTTACTTAGTGAAGAGTAGTGATGAGTGTGTTCACAAGTATTACCATGTGCCTACTAATCAAAGACATTGTAGTGCGAACGGAGCAAACAGCTGCTTACAAATAAGTTGCAACACACACACACTTCTGGAAGGAAAAGCATACGGCAGAGAGGCCATGGCAAATTTTGCAGTATTAAATGACATTTAGAATCACATGCGTTTCCGTGCAAGTGACAGACACAATTAGATTTATCCAAAGCAAAGGGAGAAAAATCTACAAAAAACCTAATAAATTTGCAAAAAAGCATCATGTTGGATGGTTGCTCTGCGGAAGAAAACTTTCTCGAGTGTGAGCATGCCCATTTTTCTCAGCAACAAAGTCCGCTCACTACTTGGAATAATGGAAAAACTTAAAAACAATATATGCCCTCGCGAATACGCGCTGCTAAGAGTAATTATGCTACGGGCAACCTGGCTTTACAGAGCTGTTGAAGACGCTATTGTAGCACTTGAAGGTTTAACTTTCCACCGTGCTGACTGCCCATGCACGCTCCGCAATCGAGGTGGTGGTGTTTTTCACTTTAATAATGCCCCCTGGTACTCCTCAGTGCAGAAAATGTTCTGCGATTTGTCGCAACCTATCGACTGCCTAGT